TCGTAAGCTACGAACGTTTTGGTTTGCATTACGAACCTATAGTTCGTAAGCAATTTACAGTGTAACTATACAATAATTTGTTTCTAATAGAATTTTTACTTGTGAAACCCGCAAATTCTTTTAGTCACAGTATATATAGATCGCCCTCTCATTCTATTTCATTTGTGTTTTTTTTTACCCTTCTTCATTTTTCCTGAAGTGAGGGAACTGCAGTGCAGCCGCAACCTGGATGCATGCTGTTGGCTCAGCCACGCCGCTTGCATGCGGCTAGCCGCAGCAGCGCCGCAGCGCGCCCCGCTCCAAAGGACTCCAGCGCTGGTCCAGGTCTCCGGGGCGCCTGTCGCTCCGATGCAACCGCCCGTCATGTAGACGCTGTGTCGGGCGGGGCCGGGCGGGGCCAGGTGGGGCGGGGCGCACCACAAGGCATCAAGATGAAATATCTGCCTGCTTAACGCGTCCAAGCGCGATGCCCTGCTCCCGGCGCGTGCCTCTGCCCGCCCCGCCCCGCCCCCACGGCACCACCGTGATGGGGACGCTGCTTGTCGCGCGCGGGCTGATGAATGACACGGTATCGGTCACAGGTTCGTCTCCTGCCCGGTGCGGCTGAGCCTCGAGCTGGGCAGGCAAGGCAGGCGGTGGTGCCTGGGCGGGCCGGTTCGACGCGCCGCCCGAGTGTTCGCCTATTTATCAGCTGGACGCCAAAGCAAACACGGACAGCGGCAGCGCCTCGGGCGGCACCCCGGCCTCGCACCCATCCCTCATGGACTCCATGACCTGGCCCGGCAGGCGGCCGCCACCACCGCGCCAAGTCGACAAACACTCGAAAGTTCCCACGCCGAAAAAGTTCAAGACTCATTACGGCCCAGAGAGAGAGAGAGAGAGAGAGAGAGAGAGAGAGAGAGAGAGAGAGAGGGAGGGAGGGAAAGAGAGAGAGAAATGGGGGGTGGAGAAAGCCCGCCTCCTGCCCCGGGCCGGGCTGAGCCTGATTAGTGAAAATTCTGCTCGCCTGGCGCTTAAAATAATAATTAACAACGACGCCTTATTTGATTATGCAAATTTTCCATTAATGATAATGTCTTCGTTGGAAAATCGCGTGAAGGCTAGGCTGCGCGAAAGATCATTATGCGGGCGGGCTCCAGGCGGGCTCCAGGCGGGCTCCAGGCGGGCTCCAGGCGGGCTCCAGGCGGGCTCCAGGCGGGCTCCAGGGGGCCCCAGGCGGCTTGTCGTTCTCACACGTGCTAACGCACCGCATGGAGTCCAGTCGGCCAGTCTTTACGACCCGGAGCCGCCACGCCGTCCGCGTCAGTCATAAGGTGTCTCCAGTTCCGAGGATCTCCATATGCCCGGTGCCCGGAGCCGGATCCCTCAGAACTCGTCTGGAGCCCGTCTAGCTGCTCTGTGCAAAACAAAATATCTGCAAAGTTCACAACAGTTGTGAAACCGTCAATTAAAAATTTAATTAATGATTTACAGTAGAGGAGAACAGTCTGGATGGGGCTGGATATTGCACTTTTCTTGGCGTAACCGTAAAATGAAGCCCAGTGTTTGGCGATTCAAGACTGCTTACTGATTTTATTGTGACTTACAGTTTCTATCGATGTTAATTTTTGTGGGTATTCTTTATTATTTACAGTGAAGGTCCCCAGGAAGTCCTTTCATACAGTTCTCCAGTAGGCTCGCTCCGGGCCGCGCCACAGTCCATTCACACAGTCCCGCCAGAAGTCGTGATCACCACATGTACGAGTACGACGCTCGTTGAGTGAGACCGATTTCTCGCTCTTGATGTAATGGACGGGACGTCCATATATTTTCCCATTCTCACAACAGCTCCTCGTCTTGTTCTGTCCGAGTGCTACTCTTGATGGTCGGCGGGGTCTGCGGGTGCGGCGCGGCGGGCAAATCCGCAGTCAAGGCCATTTTTTAGCACGATTGCCTCCTCCACAGCACGTCCAAATTCGCCGCAGACACACACACAGACACACAAAGAGTTGGGGCGGGGCCCGCGCCAGAGTCACACACGGGTGCGCCTTACTGCCCGGTATTGCTTTACATCCACACGCCGTACGTTATCCCCCTTTGCTAATCCGCGCCTCGGCCCAGACCCGCACACACACACACACGTCTCAATAAAGTAATCGCTTCGTTCTGGTCCAAATAATGTGTGTTTAATCCCTCTCTGGACACGCCATAGCCTCCGGGTTAGCCAACAACGCACGCGGCCTCACATACTCACGCACGTAAATACTCTCGCAAACACACAACTCTAGCAGAGCATTCCGAGCTAATTGCTCCGGTAAGCGTGATGTGGGTGTTGCACAAGTAGCGCCCGAGTCATCGCGCACGCTCACACACACACACACACACACCTACTCAGCGCCATCGACAACATACCCTAGGGTATATTGCGGCAGGCAGCAAATGATAGAAACGTACCGTGCGGTGCGGCCTAATGTGTGCTCGAGCACCTCTGCTTCCAGCACAGGCAGTAAGTACACTCCGACACTCCGGTCGTCCGCAGCTCATCCCCCCCCCC